TATGATGTATTGTGTGTATACACATGTATGTACATTTATTCTGTGTACACGAGGTTCTCTGTCATTTATCTGCTACACTCATTCATTACAGGTTCTTGGACAGGTTGGACAAGGTGCCTTTGGTGAAGTTCTCAAAGTTGTCAAGCGAGACAGTGGTAAAAAATTTGCGATGAAAGTAAGTTAATGTCAGTTAATGTCAGTTAATGTCAGTTAATGTCAGTTAATGTCAGTAAGTTACTACAGGTAAGAATGACACTCAAGACACCTTTATTGGAATGTTCGCGCAACACCATTAATAATGTGAATGCCTTGTGGTAAAATGTCGAGTATTCTATATGCTATAGTCATGCAGCCTGACTTGTGTAGTAGTGGAGTGTGAAGTGTTCAGGATATTTTCATGGAGCTGCGTGGATAGTTTGGGAGTTAAATATCTGTATCATGTAATTATGAAAAAACCTTCACTGTCACTGAATCAGGATCACTCATGTCATATAAAGTACTATGGGGGCGTTTGTGTTTGATCTGTATCTTAGAGTCTGTAAATATTCAGTCACTATTATGTCTTACACATATTTCTTTTAGGTTTTGTCGAAGGCAGAAATATTCAGGGGGAATGCTGTGCAGCAATGCAAAGATGAAGTAACAATTCAGGTATTGCCTGCTGCTGCATTACCAAGCACACAGTCTAGTTTTGTCAGCAGTTCAACATAATGTATACCATTAGACCCAATTTCATGAGAACCAATAACTAATATCATGCTACAAAATTATTAGCATTGATTTGGCATTCAACAAAATCGACTGTATGGATGTACAATATCGATGTATCGGTATTATTGAAAAATGCATGCAGGGGCGTGAGAAAGACGCGCACGAATTTGATCGGTCGGTGGCCATTTTTTTTATTCACAGTGGATGCTCGGACATCATCCCTTTATCGTACAGATATTTCACTACTGGCAGAGCAGGAACAGTCTCTACATCGGTGAGTGAAATCATCCGATCGACGCTGGTAAATAAGTGATTTGATTGACGATTGGCAAATAGTGGATGAGGAAGTTGAAGCAGTATGTACAGGTTATATGAGGCAAGAATATTGAGGCGTTGCATCACTCATCCCTGTGTTGCAGTCTTCGAGTACATGTCACATGGAGAGATGTTTGAGCTGTGGAAGAGGGAAGGCCGTTTCAGTGAAGAAGTGACCAGAGTCTATTTGTCTGAGCTCTCCCTCGCACTCGACTATCTACACAACTCCGGCGTCATCTATAGGGACATAAAGGTACTATTAACCTTATCCTATCATTGTGTTTCGTTGGGCTGTATAGGCATTACATGACTCATCATCAAATACGGTATTGTGTATAGCCTGAACACGTAAATGGTGAATCTATATTTGAATCTATATGAGTGTCTAGAAAACGAAGACCTAAGACCGAAGACCTAAGACCTAAGATCCCTGGAAAACTAAGACCTGGGAAACTAAGACCCCTGGAAAACTCTATTTTATTTAACTTTCTAGATGGAAAACATTTTGCTCGATAGAAACTGGAATATTCGACTGGTGGACTTTGGCTTGTCTAAATGGTTGACCAAGGGCTCCAAGACACAAACCATCTGTGGCACATTAATTTACATGGGTCGGTATAATTTGTGACTAACAATGTGTATTTGCTGTAACCTATTATACTCTTTGAGAGATTAGAATTGAGAGATTTTGTATTTCAAATAAAATAATCCTATCTGAATGTTTTTTCGACAGCCCCAGAAGTGCTGAATATGGTGCAATATGATCACAGAGCAGACTGGTGGTCCCTAGGAATCCTCATGTATGCACTGCTGACTGGCGAGGTAGGTGGTGCCACCTATGTCTCGACCCAATATCGCATGTAAATCAGCGAATGCATAGCTGCTGCTGTGATGTATGTTATTATTTGATGCGATCGCATCTATGGTGCTAAATTGAGACGAGAAATTGATTTTACAGTATCCAATATATGGAGTGAAGCATCATGGCAAGATGGCCGATATGGTGGACACGTTTAACTACTCCCTGGACAACTCCTACTCGAAGGACACACGGAATTTACTCTCAAAAGTATGATGACTACGGGGTGGGAGCATTTGTACTGAAAAGAAATCTTTACTAAAAAAACATTAAGGGGTTTCTAAGATTCTGCCCAGTTTCGAAAAAAGTTGTGAATCAGTAAAATACCCTAAGCCTAAACAAATCAAACATCACGATAAATAATCAGATCGAAACAGTCATTTAAAGTACAGACATGCTAATTTACTGATTTTAGCAGTAATTTCTAGAACCTCTCTCAACTAATTATAGCTGAGTCAAATTATAGCTGATTTGCTGATATATCTGATATATCTGGGGTGAAAATGTTGAGACCACGATTAGAGTCATGGCTGCTACATGAGGTTGCTATTCATGTCTAATATGTCACGCTACAAAAATCCACTTTTACTGTCATTGCCAACTTGCCGGCCGTAATTCACAGGTTGCGATATATCATGATGTATTTCCATAACAATGGTGATAATAACAGTGAGAATAAATCATGCACCATTCATATAACTGTCATAGCAATCGTTCTCACCCTTGTTGACTTCTCACTCCCCAAAGTTGCTGACCTGGAAAATTGCCAGAGAATGTCGGAGGCTGAATCGTCGTTGCATTTGTTCGCAGCTGTTATGCAAGAGTCCGGACAAGCGTCTACACACGCTGAAGGCTCTAAAGAAACAACCCTTCTTCAAGGGGTTCTGTTACGAAGACATCCTCGCTAAGAAGATCTCTCCGCGGAACATGCTGCGATGTGAGAAGTACATGCGTGACAACGACAGCGACGTCTACAGGTAGGCGACGGAAACATTTTCATGCGACCATCTTGTTTATATGTGTGTGTGTGTGTGTGTGTTTGTGTGTGTGTGTGTTTGTGCGTGCGTGCGTGCGTGCATGCGCGCGCGTGCGTTAGTGCGTATGTATGTTTGCATGTTGTTGGTGATGGGTGACTGTTCATTGAGAAGTGAAAATTACAAGTAAAATGTAACTGGTAAACTAATAGGTATCCGCAAACCTGTTATGCAGATGATAAACTAAATGGTATAGGCGTGCATCTTAAGGTAAAGGGTTAAGTGGTACTAGTACTAGTAAAATTCAACTGATGATAACATTTGCGATAATTTAAAGTTCGATATGCTTTGCTGAATGAGCGAATATGAATATAAAGACAACGGTTCTGACAAAGCAAACCTAGATGAAAAGGAAGTGTACTACTAGGCCACTTGCTGCTGTGATGTATGTTATTATTTGATGCGATCGCATCTATGGTGCTAAATTGAGACGAGAAATTGATTTTACAGTATCCAATATATGGAGTGAAGCATCATGGCAAGATGGCCGATTTGGTGGACACGTTTAACTACTCCCTGGACAACTCCTACTCGAAGGACACACGGAATTTACTCTCAAAAGTATGATGACTACGGGGTGGGAGCATTTGTACTGAAAAGAAATCTTTACTAAAAAAACATTAAGGGGTTTCTAAGATTCTGCCCAGTTTCGAAAAAAGTTGTGAATCAGTAAAATACCCTAAGCCTAAACAAATCAAACATCACGATAAATAATCAGATCGAAACAGTCATTTAAAGTACAGACATGCTAATTTACTGATTTTAGCAGTAATTTCTAGAACCTCTCTCAACTAATTATAGCTGAGTCAAATTATAGCTGATTTGCTGATATATCTGATATATCTGGGGTGAAAATGTTGAGATCACGATTAGAGTCATGGCTGCTATGTGAGGTTGCTATTCATGTCTAATATGTCACACTACAAAAATCTACTTTTACTGTCATTGCCAACTTGCCGGCCGTAATTCACAGGTTGCGATATATCATGATGTATTTCCATAACAATGGTGATAATAACAGTGAGAATAAATCATCCATCCATGTAACTGTCATAGTAATCGTTCTCACTCTTGTTGACTTCTCACTCCCCAAAGTTGCTGACCTGGAAAATTGCCAGAGAATGTCGGAGGCTGAATCGTCATTGCATTTGTTTGCAGCTGTTATGCAAGAGTCCGGACAAGCGTCTACACACGCTGAAGGCTCTAAAGAAACAACCCTTCTTCAAGGGGTTCTGTTACGAAGACATCCTCGCTAAGAAGATCTCTCCGCGGAACATGCTGCGATGTGAGAAGTACATGCGTGACAACGACAGCGACGTCTACAGGTAGGCGACGGAAACATTTTCATGCAACCATCTTTTTTATATATATGTGTGTGTGTGTGTGTGCGTGCGTGCGTGCGTGCGTGCATGCGTGCGTGCGTGCATGCGTGCGCGTGCGTTAGTGCGTGTGTATGTTTGCATGTTGTTGGTGATGGGTGACTGTTCATTGAGAAGTGAAAATTACAAGTAAAATGTAACTGGTAAACTATAATTGGTATCTGCAAACCTGTTATGCAGATGATAATCTAAATGGTATATGCGTGCATCTTAGGGTAAAGGGTTAAGTGGTACTAGTACTAGTAAAATTCAACTGATGATAACATTTGCGATAATTTAAAGTTCGATATGCTTTGCTAAATGAGTGAATATGAATATACAGACAACTGTTCTGACAAAGCAAACCTAGATGAAAAGGAAGTGTACTACTAGGCCACCCTTAAAAAATTGTTTGTTTTTCCTTTACCTACTCGCCTCTCAGGGTACCGAGTAGGTAGGTAGGTCAAAAATCTTTTTTATTTTGTTTTGACAAGATGTGTGTATGTATATTGTATATTCTGTTTTGTGTATGTTTTTGCGGAACGAATTAGATTTTTTTTTTTTTGGCGAAACGAAATAATTTTTGTTTTGTTTTAATCGCCCAATAAAATGTGTCGAGTAGCGGCGTTTTGGCGAGTCAGTCGGTAAAGGGCCAATATAAGAGGCAATATAAGGGGCAATATAACAAGCAATATTTTATCTTAGACCCTAGATGTATTACTCACAAAATTTTTACATGATTGTGACACAGACATTTGCTGCATTCTTCCACGATCTTCCATCACCATTTCCCTCCTATATTCCCTATATTCCCTATATTCCCTATATTTTCTCCTGTTGCATTTAGTTTAATTTGAACTAATCCTGTTTAATTTTACATCGCAGGACAACGTCGGAGGAAAGTGTCATGCTCTGTGATGGTGAACCCACCGTCAACCTACGCAGGGTCGAGTCCACAGTGACACGCCGGCATATACAGACGTTTGAGAGTCTTAAGAAGGTACGCGCCTCGCACACGCACGCCGCGCGCAATCACTCGTGTCACATGTCAGACCTACGCTTAGGTAAAAAAAAACGAGAGAAAGAACCCTTTGAGAGTCTTAAGAAGGTGTCACATTTACGCTTACACGAGTTTGAAAGAAACGCAGTGCTGTTATTGTTTTATATACGTACGATCGCACGCACCCGTGTCACATGTCAGGCTTATGCTTAGGTAAAAAAAACCAAGAGAAAGAGCTCTTTGATAGTTTTGAGTTCTGACCCACGTTTACAGAGTTGGGGGAAAAACTGCAGTAATTATTTCGCTCGCACATATAATCGCGCGCGTTCTGCATGATATTTGTAGCAAAAATTAAAAATTGATTGATTTTTACGCGATTATTATCGTCATTTTGTTTGCAGGCGAATCTGCGACGAGCGTCAGCGCACAACAGCGCCCTCTATAGCGACTACGACACGGCGCCTTACAACCGCAGCCGTAACCGTAGCAACATCAATCAGCTATACGACGAGTTTCCCGATCTCTCGACGCGCATCGTCGCCGACGGGAGGGCGCCACCGACGTCGCTCGACGGGAGGGCGCCACCGACGTCGCTCGACGGGAGGGCGCCACCGACGTCGCTCGACGGGAGGGCGCCACTGACGTCGCTCGACGCGTGCAGGCAAGTTGTCGTCGCGTCCCCGCGCATCATTGATTGCAGCTTGAGAAACCTCTGCGCGCTTCGCTGCGAGGCTAGGCGGAAATGCATTCGCGTTGTTGCGAGTCGCTGCATTTTTTTGTAACGGGAGACAAAAAATTGGAGACGTGATGGAACGCGAGAGTGATTTGCGCTCGTCGTGGCGCGTCGCTGTAATAATGTGCATCTTCTCTTTTTTCCTTCTGTGCGTTCGTTCTTCTCTGCTTCCCCCCTGATCGTAGTTCCTCTTCACGTGCGTTCGTTCTTTTCTGCTTCCCCCCTGATCGTAGTTCCTCTTCACGTGCGTTCGTTCTTCTCTGCTTCCCCCCTGATCGTAGTTCCTCTT